GAGAGAGGACAGGAACTAGCTGTCATCCTTCTACGATTGAATTGCCTGCTGACATTTACACTCTAGACTCACACAAGAAGAATTGCCACTTGGGGAAGCTACTTGAAAAAGAAGATTGAAGGGTTTGGGGGAGCAGGCAGGAGTTTTGGATGAGATACAATGACAAAAGTGGATTTAATAGGACAAATTGACTATTTTAGTGCTGTAAGAATCTATGACAACACGATTGGATGTTGAGCCAACATTAGAGTCAAAAATATTAAAGGATTGTATATTAAAGGATTGCTAGTTCCTTGGAAATAGCTGATGATTTTTCTCACTTCTATAAGGCGACATGTCACGCTGGAGATGCAAATGTGCCATGACAAAGATTTGCTTCATGGCTGCAGTTTGATTACAGAATTTTTCACTTCTCTCTGTAACAGATTAGTGTGTTCATGGTGAGGAAGTGGCGGTAGGAAGGAGAATGTGAGGGTCAGAGAGAACATGGGTGAGGTACCAATAGGTGTATAAGGGAAAGATAATCTTAGCAAGCGCCTTAGGGCATGGTATTTTCAGAGAAATCTACCATTTTATTGCCATCACTCCCACATTGCTTGAATCAGGAAGAGTGTAGCATCTTGCATGTGGAGTGACCACATTTTTATTTAAGAACCTTTGTTTTGTTAAATTTGGCTAGTTGCAATTATTTCTTCTGTGAGTTAAAGTGTTTTTGTTTAAGCACTCTGGGATGCTAACCTGCATTAGGGGTGCTATATAAATACAAGTTGTTGTTCTTGATGTTGTCATGTATTCCAGGAATAAATCAGTGCCTCATTTTAGTGGAGATACGTAAAATAAAATTATAAAAAAACTTTGAGTAAGTTAAGGCCATTCAGTTTTCCATTCCTGCTCTGTCCAGAACTCTGCAATCCATTTTATTGAAGAGATCTGAACGTTTTGCATAAATGCTCCCTGATTCCTCCATCCCCACAATCAAACCCGATTTGTTTTCCCACCAGACAAAATTTGCTGCCCCCACCCCACCACCTCTCCAGGTCCCATTGGAACCACGTGATAAGGCACCATATCAAATTCAAGGATTATTACATTGTGCATCTGTAGTTTCATTTTAACCTCCGACTGCAACTATCCATGTAACCTCCAATACTTTTCTCAAGCAGATGCTTATCCATTTCTTTTCAGAAGGACCTAATCTCATTGAGAGGGATTAATGAAAGGGGCATCAACTGCTTTTGCTGCAAGACTGTTCCAAACATCCACTACTCTGTGAGGCAGACATCCTTCTTATCAATTGAGTTTGCTAATTTTAAGATTATATCTTGTTTTCTGTTTTGCAGACTGAGTCAAATAATGTTTCTGTGTTATAATAATAATTATCTTTGTATTTGATAATAATAATCCTTGCATTTGATATGGGATTTTATCACATCTTCGAGACGCCTAAAACTCTTCACGGAATATACTGTAAAGTGAATATATAGCACCTTTAATACTGAAACATCTCAAATTGCTTAGCTGGTGGTTTATTTCAAGTATAGTATTTGTAGGCCAATGACAGCCAATTTGTAAGATTTCACAAATCAGTATGAAGTGAATTGACATTTTCTCTTACAATATCTGTGCCTCTCACTGTTTTGAAAATCTATATCATGTTTTCTATGAGATCAGGGAATACCTAAACAGCTTTCTCCCTAACAGATAGAATGGCTTAAATTGTGAAAAGAATGAGCCTTTCTCATTCACCATTTAAAGTTGTGTTATGAATAAATATCTTATTGATTTGAAAATAACTTCCATGTTTTGATCAAGCTGTTCTTATCTGGACCTAATATTGCCCAATTTTCTCAATGCTTGGTAATCTTGAAATAATCCTCAATTGCAGATACAGTATATATTGCAGTGCCAGATATAGAATTATATTAAGTCACAGAAACACTGCCCAGTTGTAGACTTACAAACATGTTCCAGCTGTGTTGTATTTCTAGGCCTCAATTACATCTGAGTGGTATGCATGGTTTTATTATGACATGGGAATGTGAAACAAATCATTGCAAATCGCCCATGTGTCACTATTTAGTGTTTGTTTTTGAGTCCCAAGCAGGCAGCTTTGCAAAATTGCCATTAGATCAAATGCTTCACTGGGTAGATGAAACCCAAAAAGTCCCAAAGAGAAGCTTTAAACCTTCTGACCCAGACAAGAGAGTGTTACCGACTGAGCCATGTACTTGGCTGCTCAATTCCGTTTTTGGGGTCGGCTGGGAATCTGAAACTGGGAATCTGGCAAACTCATCACCATGCTCCATGCATCCCACCTACACGTGGAATTCCCAGAGATAGATTGTTGGAATGGAATGCACACTCTCTGTCTGGAGGGACGCAGCCTGCTTACCTAATTCTGGAAAGTATGAGGTGCAGGTTGGCAAGAATCAAAGCTTGGGGAAGCATAGAATGTACGTTGGGGTAACTGCTGGAGTCGAACCAGCTAAAACCACATAGAGGGCTGTTGATAGCTCTGTTCTAATTGTGAATGGCTTTGCTGAGAGGCGATTGAATCTGAACGCACCCGCTGTTCTCTAGGATAATAATAAAAATAATAATCCATGCATTTGATATAGCGCTTTTCACGTCAGGAGGACGTCCCAAAGCGCTTCACAGAACACACTGTAAAGTGAATTGATTGTATATTTGTAGGCGAACGCGGCAGCCAATTGCACACAGCAATGTCCCACAAACAGTCGTAGATTGAAAATGACCAATTTATTATTGTTTTTTGGAGGGATTATTATTAGGAGTGTGGAGTAAGGAAACTTGCCCAAGGTTTCGCCCTCTGCCTGGAATTGAACCCAGGTGTCTCGCTTGCAAAGCGAGTGCTCTAACCACTGAGCTACAGGACTCCACAGCTACAGGATGCATCTCAGCTGAGTTGGTGGCTGGTAGCGAGAGTTTGACTCTCCCGCTGTGTTAGCCTATTGTCTAGTGTTGTTGTTACTCGGCGCTCACACAATGATTGGCGACCGTTTAAAAATCTGTCCCTTTGTGAGTCATGGCGAGCTTTATTTTAACACACACCAATACCTTGTGAAAGGGCCACCAATAGCCTTTGTCTGCACAAAAGCTGCACGCCTCTCTGGAGAATGGACAATGGACACCAGTTGGTGACTGAAGCAAAGCCACAGATCTGACTAAGTGGGAGTGTCGTGGCGGGGAGAAGGGGGGAAGGGGGGGGAGGGGGGAAACTATCAAAAGACTCCTTTGGGGATTCCCGGAACACAAAAAGTTATCAATCAGAGACAATGTGCACCACTATTTGTATTTCTATTGAAATGGGAGAAGACCCTTATAATTTGTCAAATTGTGTAAAGTAAAGCCACTCTTTTGGTACAAAATCATTGCACTTATTAAGCTTAGCAGCAACGTGACTGTTTGTGGGGACGCTGCTGTGCACAATTAGCTGCTGTGTTACGCCTACAAATATACAGTCAATTCACAAGATAGTATATTCTGTGAAGCGCTTTGAGACGTCTAGAAGACGTGAAAAGTGCTATATCAATGCAAGGATTTCTATTATTTTTATTATTCGCAACAACATGCAGTATGCTGTATGTGTACATGTAGTCTGAGGTCGCCTGCTTCTCTCTCTCTCCCATTCCCCCCCCACACCCACCCCCCCCCCCCACCCCCACCCCCACACTGTCCATCACGAACCCTGGGAAATAGCTATGATTTAGCTACTGTCTTCAATAAGTTAACAAACACGTCCCTTCATCTTTAAAGCAATCGATGTTTTTTTACTCGAAGCTGAAATCGACCTGTATGGAAATTTGGGTGTCAAACCGTCAAGTAAATTACAGAGGGTGCTTAAAATTACAGAAGGAGAGCACCGTGTGAAGCACAGAAGGCACGGATTAGGTCTGCAGATAGACAGGAACTCGAAATATGGTCGTGTTCCCATTTTGCTAAATGGGTATGTCATGGAAAAGTTTTTTTGTATTTAAAAAAAGTGCATTCATACCCGTCCATCATTGTGCCTTGTTTGTGTTTACCAGTCAATCGCTGCACCCGCCCAGTGCTTGGCTCAGAGATCAGCGAAAGAAAATTATGCCAGTTCTCTTCTTCCTGGTATAGTACGTTTATTAATAGACCAGTAAGTACGATAGAAAGTGTAACGATGTGCAGTACTTTCAATCTAGAGTCTCAGCGTTCGAGTATAGTATTGCTTATCTTCCTCACAGGCAATTTCTTATGGATTCTTAGTCAAATTATATACCAATGCAATTGTTGTTGTTATTATTTATGATGGTGGTAATTGGAAAAAAATGAATCCAAATTTTCAGAACGCTAACAATAATAATAATAATCCTTGCAGTTGACATAGCGCCTTATCACGTCTTCCAGACTTCTCAAAACATACACTGTAAAGTGAATTGGCTGTGTATTCTGTGGGCGAAAAGCGGCAGCCAATTGCGCACAATTAAAGTGGAGGTTAAAATCATTTGGTCTTTGCAGAAATTCTCCCGCGATCAGGCAAGGGTTAATCTCGCCCTGCCGCTGTCCTCCAATAGGGTTCTGAAATAAAACCGGGATCTGCTGCATCAAATGCACTCCTGCCTCCCAGCCGGCGATACAGGGGGAAGAATTCCCAAAGAAAAAAAAACAGTACTGGCTCGTTGTGCTGCGAGTCAGCTGTGTGAGCGGCGGGGCGTGTGTGTGTGTGTGTGTGTGTGTGTGTGTGTGTGTGTGTGTGTGCCATGGGAAGTCTCAACAGTAACATCGCTGAAGCCTTTCAGTGTCAGTGTGGAATTGGAGACACGACACGCGTCTTTACGCAAATTGCAAGTGAGCCCTTCAGTGAGACACGTTGAGTTATTTCTCTCTCTCTCTCTCTCTCTCTCTCTGTCTGTCTCTCGCTCTGGTTCTCTCTGTTTCTCTCTCACTGCTCGAGTGCCGGATGGAACAAGAACTTGCCAGGTTGGGACTGCGTTCAAGGTATACCCGCGATGGAGTTGTCTAATGCACAGAAAAGTACCTGGGTGAAATGGCAAGTAATTATTCTCATTATCTTCTCGTGCGTTTGGGATTTCATCACCGGACAGATTCGCTATTCCATCCCCGAGGAACTTAAACACGGCGCGTTCGTTGGCAACATCGCCGACGATTTGGGACTGGATGTACGGAAACTATCGGCGCGTCGGTTCCGCATCGTCCCCGGTCCCAAAACCCAGTATCTGGAGGTGAATTTGGAAAACGGGATCCTGTTTGTGAACGAGAAGGTAGACAGGGAACAGTTGTGTGGTGTCCGGGCTAACTGCTTCCTGCACCTGGAGATCGTCATTGAGAACCCTCTAGAACTCTACCGCGTGGAAGTGGAGATACTGGACGTGAATGACAATTCCCCCAGTTTTCCCTGGCGGGAATTCCGCTTGGAAATCGCTGAGTCTGTCACCCCTGGAGCCCGGTTCCCCCTAGAGAAGGCGCGCGATCCAGATGTGGGCGCCAATTCCCTCCAAACCTACCAACTCAGTCCCAATACACACTTTGCTCTGGAGGTGCAGACTCGCAGCGAACGCAACAAATTCCCAGTGTTGGTTCTTGAAAGATCCCTGGACCGGGAACAACAGGCGGTGCACAAACTGATACTGATGGCGATTGACGGTGGAGTCCCGGAGAGATCAGGTACCGCACTGATTGTCGTTTCCGTCCTGGATGTCAACGATAACGCGCCCGTCTTCGATCAGACGGTATACACGGTTTGCTTGGTGGAAAACGCTCCCAAAAATACCGTAGTGATCAAACTCAACGCCACTGATTTGGACGAGGGTTCCCATGGAGAGATCACCTATTCCTTCAGTCATCATGCGCCAGGCAGATTGCGCCAGCTGTTCAGTGTGGAACCCCAAACCGGGGAGATCAGGGTCAAAGGGGTTGTGGATTATGAAGAAGCCAGTGTGTATGAGATCTACGTGCAAGCGAATGACAGAGGTCCCTACACGGCGGCTGTGCATTGCACTGTGGTGGTGGAAATCATTGATGTCAATGACAATGCGCCTGAAGTGGTCCTGACATCCTTATCCAGTCCGGTTCGCGAGGATTCTTTCCCGGGTACCGTGATCGCTTTGATTAGCGTGACAGACCGGGATTCGGGAGAAAACGGGAAGACGCATTGCCACATGGCCAAGAACCTCCCATTCAAACTCCAGTCGTCCTTTAAGAACTATTACACCTTGGTCACCAACGACTTTCTCGACCGTGAAAGCGTCCCGGAGTATAACGTGACTGTCACGGCGACTGATTCGGGATCTCCTCCTCTATCCACCAACCAAACCATCTTAGTGCGGGTTTCAGATGTCAACGACAACGCGCCGCACTTTGCCCACCCTTCCTACACCGTTTATTTGATGGAGAACAACGCCCCGGGGGCTTCTATTTGCTCCGTTTCCGCCTTTGATCCAGACATTGATCAGAATGCCTATGTGTCCTACTGTATCTTGGACGGCAAAATACGGGGCACCCCCATATCCACCTATGTCTCCATCAACTTGAACACGGGAAACCTCTATGCGCTGCGCTCCTTTGACTTTGAGCAACTGAAGAACTTCCAAGTGACAGTTCAAGCTCAGGACGCGGGTTTCCCATCTCTCCACAGTAATGTGACGGTCAATGTGATCATCTTGGATCAGAACGACAACGCCCCCGAGGTCACATCCCCGTTGCCCCGGAACGGTTCCCACGCCACCGAGATGGTTCCACGCTCAGCGGACCCGGGCTACCTGGTGACCAAGGTGGTCGCCATCGACGTGGATTCTGGGCAGAACGGGCGGCTCTCTTACCAGCTGTTCCAAAGCACAGACCCGGGTCTGTTCAGTGTGGCGCCCCTCAGCGGCGAGATCAGGACAGTGCGCCTCTTGGAGGATCAAGATGCCCTCAAGCAAAGGGTGGTCATCCTTGTGATGGACAATGGACAACCCCCACTGTCCAGCTCAGTCACCATAATGGTGTCCATTGTTGACAGTGTTCCAGAAGTCTTCTCTGACTTGAGCGACAAGCCCCAAGACACCGAGTATCTCTCTAATTTCAACCTCTATTTGATTGTCTCTTTGGGCTCCGTCTCCTTCATATTCCTGGTGGCCATCATCACGCTGGTTTCGGTCAAGTGCCACAAGGAGAGACACAGCGCCCATGGCTACCAGGGCTGCTCTCTCAGCGCCTGTTGCTCCAGCGAAGGCAGCAGCTGTTGTTTCAGACGCAAGCGTTCAGGAGATGTTTTGAATAACTCCCATGTGAACTTCCAGATGCCAGCCAGCGCCAAGGTCCCGCCGAGCCACATGGAGGTGGGAGGCAGTGCGTCCCTTAATCAAACTTACTGCTACAAAGTGTGTTTGAGCCCAGAATCAGCTAAGACAGACTTAATGTTTCTCAAACCCTACAGTTCCTCCACTCCTCGGAATAACGCCAAGACTTCTAACCCATACGTGACAGGCTGGAGAGGCCAGACTTTGGATACATCAACTATTGGGGCCAATAAATGCAGTGAGGTGAGTCTTGCGATGGATGCTTAAACCTTGAGGTTGGCTAGTTTAGTTCGGGCGAGCAATAAAAACGGGGATAGCGGCGGATTCCATCGGCATAATTTAACTTTCACTGAACATTTTTATATTATAAAACGTTGTTGGGCGATATTGTATCATGTGATACGGCTCATTAGCGAATCTACTCCGCATGGTGCACTTCGTAAATGTGTTTTTTTGTTAATATTGAGCTAACTCTCTCCATAAAATGGAACAGCTGCCTGGTAAGTATTGGGTTTGATGGGGTTATTTGAATGGAGGGAGTGATTTAGACCAGCCAATTTCTCCGCAACAAACCACTGGAAACCGCTGTATTGCGACTGTATAACTATTCATAACCTGTGATTTATCTTTTTCCCAGGTTTTCAGATTTCCACGGTGGGTAATTCAGTCCTAAAGCCGAATTAATGAAGAAATTCCTTTCCGTACGAGATTTCCCCAGTGGAGTGCAGTATATAGTACTCGCAGACTTTTAGCATGACAGTCAAGTGCTCTATCTCTGTTTAAAAAAAAAGCCGGTATCACGAATGAAATGGTGTCTAGCCTACCTAGAGTAAATTAAAATATGGCAGGGACGAGAGTTTAAGAAGCCCTAAGCATATCTGATAAACAGTGATATTTAATTAACTGCATCAAAGGGAACAGTCCTGTACAGAAACCCTTTGAACCGCTTTAATAACTCGCGGGCAAAATGTTTTAGCCCGGATGGTTAGAACAGTTCTGTAATGCATTGATCAGAATTGTTTGAGATGGGATTGATAAGTAGCAATGCAAACTATTTTGATCATCGGCGTCCAGGTAATAATATCACGTCTTTGAGATAGTCTTGAACTGAATTCATTATTAATCACTTTGAACCCTTTCAAGACTGAGTGTGGTAAGGTAAGGGTTTGAAGGGTTACGGGGCAAGGGTCGGTATTTGGAGTTGAGGTACAGATCAGCTATGGTCTAATAGAATGGCAGAAAGGTTCTAGGGGCTGAGTGGTCCTACTCCTGTTCCTATGCTCCTCACATACCACAACAGTGACAGGTAAACGCTGATATAACGTTGGCTGAATCCATATGCCTCACAATAGACAGTAAATATTAACATTTCATGGCACATGCTTTGCTCTCGGGGTTTGGCAAGCACCAACCAACTTTCTTCCAAAAATGTGTCTCTCTCCCCATTTCCCACACCCCACCACCCCCCAACAACAACAACAACCGCAACAAAAAACAGCCCTTTTGTACTGTAGAGAGTTAATGTTAGAAGAGAGAAAACAACTGTATTTGCCCAGAGCTAAGGTATAAATCATCCATATGTAGTAACTTTAAGGAAAGGGCAGTTCTGCCAGAGATGTACACATACTGGTAAAGGGTAAGTCGAGGCAATATGACCGTAGCTTTGATTCATGTCAGATACAGTTTCCTCACACTCTCAGCCCGCCAGCGGCAGTGTGTAAATCAAAAACTGCCCTTTTCGGTGCAGAAGCCTTTTTCCTATTGATTAAAACATTGTGCCCTTCAACTATTCTCGCTATTAAGTCTGCAGCCGTAATGTTCTGCCTTCTGTTGAATCAAGCATGTCGTTATTCACTAATTACACCGGACTTCGTGTCAGTTAATTCTTAGGTGCTGATAATTTTTACTCCGGCTGGAATAGGTTAATTCCTCTGTAGGGCATGACTTTTTGAATATTGAATTCCAATACTTTTGGGTGCCTATATATGTATATACAACATTTTCTTATACTGGACTGTGGGACTTCAGATGGATGAAATTGCTTTTTTTGTGCTGTTGTTGCAAGGCAAACCGATCTAGAGAAAGCCCAGGATTTATTCCTTCGAATCACTGAGCTGAAATGATGGACAGCGAATGAGTGTACACAGGGAGCGAAGAAAAGGCCAAATTAAAATGCAAATCTGTTTTTTTTTTGTTGTTGGAACATTTCGCCATCCTGCTATGTCTTCTTTTGCTTCTTCTGTCAGACCCTCACCTGCATTTCTGCTGAAAGAAAATCATCAGCATTTCAATTAACTTCATTATGAGCACACCTGCAGTTGTGAATCCATTCTCCCCTCGTGATTTTCACAGTGCAATACTCAGTTGGTAGGAGCTCGACTGCAGAGAAAACATTGGCATCCTAGCCAAGTGGCATAGTAATTTTGGAACCTGTGATGCACAACATAAGGCAATACTCTTGTTGCAATTGCACAGTGGTCTGCTAACGATTTTTTTTCATTATACGGTGCAATCCCACCGTGCTAGAGCAGTTGAATTGCCTTGATGCACTGCCGTTTTATTACATTTTCTTTTTTTTTTCGGGAAATGGAGTTTCTGGGGCAACGAGCACAGTTGCTGTGGGTTATGCTGGTTTGTTTAATAATGTTGTATTTGATATTTATACATTATTCAAGACATTCTTTACTTTCCATGACCTAGGATTAATAACTCCAGTATGGTGCTACAGAGATTGTGTCAATATTACTCTGGAGGTCACGGTATTGTTATTATTACTGTTTTTTTGGAAGCGACCAGATGGACTACAATTGTTGTATCCAATCCTGCACATTCCTGTTGACATCCGCTGTCACTCTGATGATATCTGTGGTAATTGTAGTCATGAGCGATCGTTTCACATGGCAGACATATGTGATGCTGGAAACTAATATAAAGGTATTCACAGTGACACCCATCACTCTGCCTGTGGCTGTGAGACTGTGAAAGTCACCATTAATTTCTGGGCTCATGTTCTTTTCTACTCACCGGGAAATGATTGATGTGATACTCCAACAACCGTTACATGTTTATGGCACTTCAACCAATTATTGGTGAGGGATGGTTTTGGGCAAGGGGTGGGATTCCTTTGACTTTTCTCACTTAAAAAATTCTGAACTGTTGTGTGTTGTACTCAGCTGAAGTCCTATACCACCCCAGGCCATAGTTTAAATTAGACTTGGAGGCAAGAAGGAAAATGACTAAAGAAACTAATGAAGTCAGTGGTGATAATTACAAGAAATATTAGTGTACAAGCAGGAGGCAATGATATAAATTAGATTGATTGATAAAAGCAAGTCAAACAGAAGGTTATGCCACCCTGGGCAGAGGTACTAAAAGATCCAAATTTCATATGTAAGTTCATTAGAGGAGCAGTAGATGTCCAGGTTTAGATGTGCAATGATTGGTTTGCCAGAGGCATGCATGATGCTTGGAACTAATATAAAGGTTTCCACAGTGACACCGAGCACTCTGTCAGTAGCCATGAGGATGAAAATCATCATTAATTTTCAGCTTCATGTTCTATTCTACTCTTTAGGAAATTATTTATATGCTACCATACATACTGCTGTGTTCACCTGCAGTCAAGATATGAACTCTTCTGAGAAGGTTGGCCCATTTTCATAGAAGTGGGAATAAACAGTGTGAGAGTAACATCCATGTCCTGACAGTCAACTTGATGGTCTATGCCTCCTGTTAGGGCCTCTTTTCCCTAGGCATCTGCAATGCCCCCCAAAGATATTGTGATTGTTTAATACCAGGGTCAACAGAGGAATCCTTCATCTTTTGCTGGTTATTTATACCTGGGTTAAGTGACTGCACCCATTTTTTNAAGGTAAAAGGGACTACAGTCTGAAATCATTGAGTATGAATGCATTGACTGCAGACATCACAGCATAATGTGGGTATTGTCTGGTGCGCAATATCACATTATCATACAGCAATTCTTCAGTGCTCTCTTAAACTGATTTATGCCTCAATCTCCTGTTGCGGAGGGAGCCTCTTAATCTGAACCATCTAATTTGTGCAACCTCTTGGTGTTGTACTGCATGTTTTACCATTCAGAGGAGCATCTACACCAATGTTGAAGGAATGGCTTTGTGCCATGGCTATGAATAAGAAAGGATTTAAAAGTATGTGTCAGGTCCAGGAGCTTTGCAAAGAAACTTGATATATACCTGTTTTGATCAATGGAATCTCCAATGCAGTTGCATTTGTTTACTTGTCCTGGCCATTTATACACATTTGACATCCATTACCACTCACAGTTTATGGTCAATCTGAAAGTGCCTACGCCCATGCCTTATTGCTTGCATATTAAAGCAATCGTGCTGTAAAATCCCCAAATTCTATTCTTTAGAGACCCAAGCACAGATAATATTCATTGTGAATATGTGTGTATTTTTGTTGGCCATGTAATACCCATACAATACCTCTCTCTCATTGTTTTCCTGTTGAGCCTATTGTGATTATGATGTAAGAACACATGGAAAGGAAGAGTCTGTTAGTTATTTACTCTGTCAGTTTACTAGATTATGACTAGTTTTTTAATCCCATTTTGCTGCCTTTCCTCCAATAGGAATCCAGCATCGCCAATAACAGCGCTACTAATAGAAGGTTCGCTATCCAACTGGGATGTACATGTAGGGAGTGAGGATGGTGGAGGGGTCAGCAATATCTCCATGTGTTTAAGGGAAATAAGCATTTGGAACAGTCTTGATGCTGAGTGAGGCTTGTGCAAATACATGACCTGGGCTGTTCAATATTCTGATCAGATTGCTGACCAAATGAGATTCAAAGTTGTTTTTGTTATGCTACATTTGATATCTGAAGTCCTGGATCTGCTCTCCGTGGGCGCAGTGTGGCCAAGGACATCTGCAAGCTCTGTTAGCCCATCCTTCATGCTCAACTGGAACTGTTTCACACAATCTGCCAGTCCTCAGTGCCCAGGTGATTGGAAAGTTGTCTTCATGCCAAACATAGTTACAGTCAGTTACTTTGCTTTGATACCCATGTGTCTGACTCCAGAACAGATGATTCAATCACAGCTGCCTTATCAATGCCATTTTCGTTTTTGGTGACAGCTACTGTATCATTAGTTAACCATTCAGTGTTGAGGCACAACATGGATCTCCATATCTTCTTTAGTTGGTCTATCATTGAGTACAATCTTCTTTGGTGATGTTCACATCATTGGAGCCCTTGAG